GATTGATGCCCCTTGCACACCAAACTCTGCTAAAAGGTTATTCTCTAGTTTGCCCTCAAACTGTTGCTGAATGTAAGCCCACTTCCTGCTAGCACAGAAACCAAAAATCAGGTCACCAGACTTTGAGAGAAAAAAAAGTTCTTTAACCAGAAACTAACTTTCTTGTTTGTTTTTTAAGCTTTTTAAGAGAACTGAGCAAATGGTTCCAAGTAGTTAAACCTGTAGCTACCTTATTTCTCATTGGAGATTGAAATTTGGGGTTTCTACACCTGTTTAAACATAATCCTATTAAAAGACTGCATAGGGCCTCCTCTGGTGGCGCAGCGGTTGAGCGCTGGGCTGCTAGGCTGTCTGCAGTCTCTGCAGTCACCGGTTCATTCCCCTGCCGCCAGCGAGGGTCCCACCAAAAAAAAAAAAAAAAGGACTGCATAATATAACCAGGTGAACACCAGCTGTTTTCAAATTCAAATGTTTGATTAGGGAAAGATAGAATAAAGTTTTTAAGTATTATTAAAATGAGCACCATAATTAGGAATGGATGGTATTGTTCAATAATGAATTGAGTGGTACACCTGAGAGTCAGAACGTGTTAGACCCTAAAAGCCTGGCGGTAGTAAGAATGCCCATGAAATGTCACAGTTAGCTATAATAGGCTAGATTTAAAGACAAAATGAGTTCTTCCATGGAAGGAAGCAACACTAAAAGCTGATCACATTTTATGTATTTTCTCTTTTCAATGTGTGTATACCTGTTTATTCATTTATTTGTTTAGGGAACATTGGTTTGCAATGCTGTATATGATTTAGAGGAATAGGTTCACTTGTCCTCAGCTGTGTGTCATCCCACCCCACTCACAAGATCAAAGCAAACATGGGCCCTTCACCATAGACCATTGGGACTCTTCAGCTTTTTCAACCACCACCATGCTCCCTCCCCTTCTGGAGAATTACATTTAACTTGTAATATTAGACAATGACAATTTTTGACAAGTGTGACAGGCATTTCTTAAATAAAAGATCTCTCCCCTTTGAAAATGTGGTGTTTCATGAGGAGAACATAAAAAGCCACTTTTAGCTATAATCATTAACCGAAATCTATTTTAACGCATTAGAAATTGAACAGAATCAAAGTTTACACTTGTACCTAGTTTCCTCATCCTGCTATTTCCTCTCTCATCTGAAATTGTCCCTCTTTCCATGGCTCAACCAAAAGGCATCTGAAGAACATCTTGAAATTATTTCAAAGCCCACATTCATTGCAAGCCTAAAATCAAATTTGAGATTATCAGATTAAGACAACCCATGTCAACCTTGTAAGATTTGCCTACTTTCATAGCCAATACCTTTTCTTGAGTTTTCATTAGTTTTTCTATGTCCCATAGTTCTAGCCTTTTTTCATAGTCTTCTATTTTATTTACAGAGCAATGAAAAATTGAGTCCTTCTTCCTTTGAGGGATGTTTCTCAAACATATTTTAATAAATTCTGAATAACACACTATTTTCCTGAAAGACATTTTGGTTTGAGATTTTTGTCTGAATTTCATACAAATGCAGAGCCATTACTATCAGAGACACATTTGCAGTGTATTTCTATAAAGAAGTGCCCTGTGTTTTCTGCACTTGTCTTATAACTTTGTTGGGGTTGTCTAATTTACATATATATATATATATATATATAGTATATATTGGGAAATAAATAGTATATATTGGGAAATATATATTTTCCCATTGTCTCTGACAATAAGAAGATTTTATAAATCTTAATTACTTTGATAAGAACATGATATTTGTTGATCAGAAAAAATATCACAAAGGGAAATTAAAAGATTTTCTCTGTCAGCAACTCAGTAATTGACTCAGATACACAAACAAGGGTCCCAATCAGTGTTTTAGATCTCTCAGAAATCTTGCACAAGATGAAAATGTAAGTGCTCGGTCAGATCAAATGCGTGTTTTGCACTTTGAATTTACAAGGGGAAAGCAAAATAGGTTGTCATTTCTTAGTGTTTTAGAATGCCTTGAAAATATATAGTATAATCTAAAACACTATCATCTCTAACTTTTTTCCCTTGGAGTTTTGTTTGTCCTTAAATTCATAGTTTTTTGATAAAAGAAACTGCTTGATAACCTTTGTAGAAAAAGCAAAGTAGAAAATGGAGATAAGGGTGACAAAAAGAGACAAGAAAAACAAAGTGAGAAATGTAGAATTTAAGATTTGAAGGCTTACCTCAAGACCTTCAAGTGTCAATTAAACCAGAAAATATTTAGATATCAAACTACACTTGCAAACCATAGTTTTCATATTTTCTGGGAGCTTCAGCAATCCTTTCCAACAAGATATAGGAATAGGCTTACATTATAACTTAACAACTTTAAGATGTGTTTGGGTGTGTTTCCTTCTCAAAAGATTCTTCTTTGGGAAATGGAAAAATAGACTTTTAGAAGGCACAAAAGGCCTAAGGAAGGAGAAAAAATAAGAATTATAAATATGCATTCCACACAAATGCCTTTTAGTTAGAATACTAGTATCTCCTCTTTAATTAGGATTCTGGAGTTCTATCAGTGCCACCATATTTAATTTTCTAACTCATGTTCCTAACTTTTTTTGCTTTTCTTTAATACAGTTACCACTAGATTATTCTTTTTAAAGTCTACTTGGTCATGGGATCTGCTCTGAAAGCTGCTATGTCTCACATTGCCTATAAAGAAACAAAAACAAACAAAAAAATATCCTCATCTAAGCATCTTCATTTTGTTACTGAGAAAAATGAGATTGCAGCACCCAATGACCCACAAATCTGCAAGCTCTAAATGAGTTCTTTCTGATGCATAAAGACTAGCATAATCTTAGTACATAAGATCTTCAACAGAAAAGAACTTTAATAGAATTAGTGTGCAATATAGAGAAAAGAAAGAATATCATTTCCAAATGAAGCACCCAAAGCAAACCCTCTTGGGCAAATTCCCAGGTAAAATGCATTGGCCCAAATGCTGTCCACTGAGGCCCAAAAGCTTGCTACAAGTCTAAGGCACCTTCTAATGTGGACCCATAGGAAAGGGGCAGAAATGGCCAGACAAGTCTGGAAGGAAAAGAGCAAAATCAAAATGCAAGTCAAAATAAAGGCTGCCATTGTCAGCCTCCCCATAGGTCTCTTAAACATGGCTCTTCAAAGTGCCTCCTTCCTTGTCCCACAAGTTCCCTGGTACAAATCCAAGGTCAAGAAGCAAGCATGGCTTCTTCATGTTTCTCTTCCATGTATCTCTTCTGGTATTCTAGTCTTTTTTTTTTTTTTTTTTTTTTTTCCATCTGTCTCCTCTATTGGTATTTTTACCTTCTCCTCAATGCTTGGCCACACCTTTTCTTAGGGTCGGGCAGGGAACCTGGAACCTCACCTTTCTATGGGAACTAGATTGTTAGAATTTGAACACCTGGGCCTCCCCAGTGGCGCAGCGGTTGAGCGCTGGGTTGCGAAGCTGCACACAGCCTCTGAGGCGCCAATTCGATCGATCCCCGCCGGCCACCCGAGGAGGGTCCCACATGGAGCGCAGACCTGTCCTGCGCCCGCTGCTCCCCTCAGCAGTGTACTTCGGTCCTTCTGCCTGCTCTGCTCCCCGCTCTGGCTCTGGTGAATTCTCTCACCCTCCCGCGCTTCTGACTGTACCCTGTGCTTGTATAAATAAACAAACAAACAAACAAATAAATAAATATTTAAAAAAAAAAGAATTTGAACACCTGCTTCTTAATCCCAACCTTCAACATAGATATAGCCCTGGATTCCCGTGATCCTCAAAATTGGAATAGCAATTTAGCATCATGCAAGAACTGTTGTTTTTTTTTTTTTTAGAAGCATGCTTTATTTATTTATTTATTTGTTTGTTTGTTTTGGTTTTTTTTTAATACATGCACTGGGTACAGTCAGAAGCGCAGGAGGGTGAGAGAATTCACCAGAGCCAGAGCGGGGAGCAGAGCAGGCAGAAGGACCGAAGTACACTGCTGAGGGGAGCAGCGGGCGGCAGGAGAGGTCTGCGCGCCATGTGGGACCCTGCTCCAGTGGCCGGGGAGCAGCCGGGGATTGAACTGGCACCGCAGAGGCCGCGGGCAGCTTCGCAACCCAGCGCTCAACCGCTGCGCCACCGGGGAGGCCCCAAAAGAACTTTTAAGAAACAGAAATTCCGAGACACCCAATCTCCCCTGATTCACTAAATCAGAAATTTTGGAATCAAGTGCAATCAGTGTTTAACAACTCCTTCAGATGATCCCAACAGGGCTTAAATACACTAAAGTTTCAAAGCCATGACATCTAAGTCCTAAGTATGTATCATCTTATCTTATTAAGTTCCTTATGTGACTTTATCAATCATCTTCATAGTATCACCAGTGGCAACACTTGCTAAACTTCATTGATTTTTTTCATATATTCCTTATAGCTCCATAACCTAACACCTACATTATCATTACCTTTGTGACTTTCTAAAGCAAATTTACTTTAAAATGAAACTGCATCGTTAATAGCATTACAATGAGTAATTCTGATCACAGTAAGGTGCTTGTGAAATAAATATGATAAATAGAGTTAATGCATGTGGGGGTAGTGATGAGGAAGATTGGTAGCTATGGTTATCAAAGGATAACAATTAAAGAGCTATTGTGTATCTACCTGCTCATAGATACCCCATGATATTGCGTATGGTAACACTGCATAGATATTAAACACACATGCACACACATATGAGTATAAATAAAACTTGGAGAAAATCTCAATGATGTAGGTGAATTGCATCAGTGTTCATATCCTGAGCATGAGATTGCATTATAATTTTACAATTGTTGTCACTGGGGGAAGCTGAGTAAAGGGTACAAAGGACCTCTGTATTATTGACATTGATATGGCTGGCTATTTTAAAAACAGCATTTTTATATCAATGACACCGATGTTATATAAAAGCTCTTAGATCAGATAAAGACTGAGTTTCCAGTCTACACTGAAAAGGCTTAAATGAATTCTTTCCTGTCAGAGGAGATACCGAGATCACTAAGGTGGTTTTCCCAGGGCCACATTCACCTATTGCACTCCGGATGTGCTGACCCCTACAATTTCCCTAAATGTTAGAAACTTGACTGCATGATTTGTGGTAGCAAGGGACTACATTCTTGTTTCCCCCAAAGATAAAGAAAAGGAAAAAAGAAAAAAAAAATGAAATGAAGCACAGTCACTGGTAGTCAAAAGCAGATGATATTGATGATTCCAACACATGCATACACACACAACACACATACGCCAGCATTTCAGTGGAAAAGTGGTCAAATCTGATTAAGTGTGAAAGGCAAAATTGATAGTGAACACTGTTTTTACTTTTTATTTCCTCTTCCTAAACTACAGAGGACAAGTGAACCAATATCTTGTGTCATAAGGCTTTAGACTAGTAAAAGGGGAAAAGGAAATAGCAAGCATTATATTTTGCACATTTTAAATAATAGCGATACATTCCCTTGTCTATGGGTATAAAATCTGGTGGAAAAGCAGTCATGGATCTCCGGTGTCTAGGAGGTTTCTGGTTGTGTAGTGTGTGGAGTGTGAGGCAAATATGCAAAGCAAAGAATCTCTGTTTTCTGCATTTGGCTGTCTGCAAGAACTCTCTGGTGGGAGCTCAGACAAATGCTTCCAGGAAAGAAAGCAGCATAGATTTTTCTAATTAAAGGAGCCCCTTGTTTTAGGAAGCATATCAATGAAGCCCTTGGTTTGAATTCTATTTGAACAACTACCTTGTAATTTGGAATGCTCATCAGGAACTACGTGCCATTAAGCAGCACGATGTGACTTTGTAAAGGATTCATTTTAGAAATTACATTCCATTCTCTACTTGTCTTTTCCAGGAGGATAACCCAATATTTAGGGGGTGAAATTACTTTGCTCTTGGATTCTGATCCTTAATTTATTATTAGGTGTGAGTACAATTTCCCTTTCTTATTTTTTGCCTTCCTAAGAAGATTTGGAAATACACTTAAAGATTCCTAGATCTTCTAATTAAACTTTTAATTCTGTGATTCAAGGCAATTTTTGCTAATTATTAGAAAGAGAACAGGTTTAAGTACAATTAGGAACTTAGCAAAATGCCTCTTTAACTCATTGTAACTGACTCCAAGTAAAACATGATATTATAACACACCCACTGGAATATTTTTGACACATGCTCACCAGCACACCTACAGTCAGACCCAAACATGCTTTTGTACTCATCCTCAAAATCAGATGTATCATTTCCTGATTCTCTTTTTTTGTACAGGGTTAGCAGATAGTAAAAGTATCTTAAGCAAACCTTTTCTATGAGAATACAGAAAATCAGAAAAAAAAAAAAAAACAGTTTTTCAAGTAATCATTTCTTATTCTTGTGTTGACCTAGACAGCTAATTCTATTTCTGCTTACCTACATCCCTACTCCAGTCTAATCATGTACAGAAAATCAGCATTAATTATGTACATTTAATATTATTGAGAATATATTGTATTTTAAGACTTTGCTGAGATACATATAGAATATGAATATAGAAAAATATTAGTATTAGATCATATTTGCCCTCCAAGTAGCCTTCAGTCTTAGAAACAGGTCAATCTGCTCTATCATAGCAATAATTAGGAGTTGGGAGATGAAAGGGTCAGGCCTCATAATTCTCATTTCCTTGGGCTATGTACTCAGTACACCGCCCTGTGGTTACATAGAACCAGTTTCTCTTCTGCACAACTTACTAAATTCCTTGCAACCCACAAATATAATGATACTGATATAAGAATACTAGCCTTATAAGCACAGGTTATGTGATTGTGTAGGAAAAATATCATTTCACTAAAACCTCCTGAATCCCCAGAAATTATTTTAAATAATTATTACTAATGAAATATATAAAACTGAAATACATCTTCCTGATTCTATTGCAAATGATTATAAGTAATTTTTTTAATTCAGAATTCAGTTTCTTGGAAAATTCTCAAATTTATCTTTGACATTTCTAATACAACAAAGTAATCTATCATCTGCAATAAAATAAAAGAGCAGGGGGTAAGACTATCATTTGTTATACAGTTTGAATATTTGATAAAATTAATGACTAGTTTATTATCCCCTAATCTACATGAAAAGCCTTAAGAGCAAACAAAGCTGTACATAGATGTAAGCAATGAGAATGTATTTTGAGTAGCTCAACAGCAGTAGCTATAAGAATTCAATTATTCTTTATCTTCTCTGTTTATTTCCATTTGAAGTAAAATAATTTTTATTCATCCTTTTATTCCCAAGTGAAGTGAACTATAGGATGGTGTATTTATATCTTCTGTACTACTGATTTTAATCCTGGCATCATGGGCTTACCACTCTTTGGGAAAAGAGGAGGAGGAGATGCTAAAATAAGTGGGTAACTTGCTTGAATGGCAATATATTCAATATAATTACTGCATTAAAAAAACAAATGTTAAAAATAAAGTTTGCAAAATAAGTATGCTAAAGTAGAATTAGAAAACAACATGGCCTAAAGATGTGAATCAAACACAAATCCATAACAGTGGTATGGATAAGAGCATAGAATGACAGCATATAGTTATATGTATGAATATGTATCACACCAAGATATACAACATATACACCATATAAGCCAAAATATATAATTTCCTTGAACAAAATGAGAGTGAACAACAAGGAAGAATGTAAGATTCAGGTGCACAGTGACTCAACTCAGAAAAGTACTAAGAAGAACTAGGATAATAGCTTACCAGTACCAGTAGGTGATAAGCAATTGATTTAGAGGAGAAAAAAAAGCATTCTAAGATGAACTTTTACAATATAACAATGCCACATATTATACGACTGGAGATTAAGAAGACTTTAGCATATGATAAAGCATCTTATTTGAAAGATCATCTTATTTGAAAGATCAACTTCTTGTGTTGCCCAAGGCAGAGATGTAGGCATGATGGGATGAGTGCCAATGATTTCTTAGGCTGAATGTTGAGAGCAAAATGAATGGTGTGGTCTTGCTGTAATGCAGGGTTGTTTTTTTTTTTAATTTATTTTATTTATTTATGCATACAAGAGCTGGGGTGCAGGCCAGAGGTGCAGGTGTGAGAGGACTCACCAGAGATAGTGTGGGGAGCTGAACACGTGGATATATTGAAATACACTGCTGAGGGGAGCAGCAGACAAAACAGGAGAGGTCTGTTGCACCATGTGGGTTAGCTCCCTGGCAGGGAATTGGAACTAAGCTGTGTGGTTGACGATAGCTTGATAGCTCTGAGACTTAACCCCTGCACCAGGAGGGAGGCCTAGATATGGTTTTTAATCTTCCCATATCATCTTCTTGATGATGATGTTAGTGTCAATGTCTTCACCCACTACTTCTCCCTCTTGCTCTTCCTCTCACTTCCATTCTTTCCCCCTGCCATTCTCTTCCTCCCTCTCCACTCTCTGCTCCTATTCTTCCTCCACTCATCACCTTCTTTCTTCTAAATTATTTAATAATTTAAATCTTCAGTTTTTACTCCAAACACATGAGTCTAGTATCAGTATGTGGTCATTCCCTCAAACATGTCCTCTATTCTGATTCCTTAGCTTTATTATTATTTTTAACATTTAATAAACTTGATTTTTAGTTTTACAAATTAATTACAAAATTACAACAGAAGTTTCCCCCTATATATGCTGGCCTACCCAGTTCTTCACATCTCAGGTCACCTTGACTCTGAAAGTTTTCTAAGTCTCCTCTGAGTGCCAGAATAGGCTCAGACCTACTGAGAGCCAAAGAAGCCCTTGATGAAGGAGACTTAGATCAGTAGCATGATCTAACTGGAGATTTTAGGGCACCATTCTCTAGGTGAGCCATCTGTGCTGAAAACTTTGTCTTGGACAAGTTGTTTCTGTGGAAAACCCATGCCACTAATAACAATGTTTTCTGTCAATCTGCCAGAATGTTTTTTGACCCTACAAAACTCACAGTGTTCTAGTTTCAATCTTGCTTGCCTGGTATCTGTAACCCAGCTCTGAATATTTCTGGTTTCTACATACCCACTGTGCTTTGCTTCTTCTCACTGGACATACACAGTCCTTTTGTCTTCAGTTTATATTAGATTTTGTGTCACACAGAATGATCCATCAAAGATGTTGAAATCCTGATCCCCAAGACTTATGATTATGTTACCTTATGTGTTATTATTATTATTTTTTAATTTTTATTTTATTTTTATTTTTTATTTTTTTTATAGACGCATGTTTTATTTATTTATTTGTTTGTTTGTTTGTTTGTTTTGTTTATACATGCACTGGGTACAGTCAGAAGCGCGGGAGGGTGAGAGAATTCACCAGAGCCAGAGCGGGGAGCAGAGCAGGCAGAAGGACCGAAGTACACTGCTGAGGAGAGCAACGGGCGGCAGGAGAGGTCTGCGTGCCATGTGGGACCCTCCTCAGGTGGCCGGGGAGCAGCCGGGGATCGAACCGGCGCTGCAGAGGCCGTGGGCAGCTTCGCAACCCAGCGCTCAACCGCTGCGCCACCGGGGAGGCCCTGTGTTATTATTATTTTTAAGGTTTAATAAACATGGTTTTTAGTTTTACAAAATTATAACAGACTAGTGTCCCCCTAACTTTTGTTCACCTGGAAACTTAGAATATGAGCTTTGGGAGTAGGGTTTTTGCAGACATAATTAATTGATATGAGGTCACACTGAATTTATGTGAGTCCTATCCAGTACCTGGTAACCTATTGGATCAAATATGAAGAAGCAATATGGCACATTAAGGATTCAAACTCTTTATCTTTGTTTTTAGTTTTCAGTCCCACATTTCCCTCTTTAGCTATTCAACTTAAGGCAGTAGTTAATCTCTATAACTCAGTTCTGTCTGATGTAAAATCAGTATTATAATAATAGTATCTAATGCCTCCCAGGTGCTTTTTATAAGTACCCAAAACTCTGCACCTGAGTTTCATGTGTGGCTATAACCGCATTACAAAAGAAGATGACTTTATTAAACAATTTATTGACTTTTTGAGCATATCACTTAATGTGATTTTATTTTCTTTACATTCTTGTTTTTATTGAATATTCAATAACCAACACATACTAATATAACTTTTACAGTTATATTAAAATATAGGTTTCATTATCCTCAATTTATAGTTAAGAAA